CCTTAAAATAACCAGATCCCTTTTTTGTCTCCTGGTGCTGCAGTCGAGTCGCTGAGGGAGCCCAGAGATCTGCTGTGAGGAGGTGGATATTGGGGGGCCGAAGGAAGCATTTCCCTGATCCCTTACCTGGATCAGACTACCCTGGGTGTGTCACTGAAATTCAGAGGGACATCTTGGCCTCAGCTTCACACTGGGGGAAGGAGGTTTGTGACATGGTTCAAACACTGGCTGTGACTTGCAAACCCTCCCAGTGATCCAGGGAGGGTTTTAGCCACTCTTCAGTCCTTTGTGGGTGTGAGGACAGAGAGCCCCCAGGCAGATGCAGAGCTCAGCCTGAGGGGTTTCATGCTGGGGGTGGTATTTGGGGATGTGGCAGAGCCAGGGGCTGCAGACAGTGGCCAGGACGTACCTTGGAGCTGGCTGTGTGGCTGTGCCAGGGAAGAGGAAGCAGGAGCTGCTCTCGTGGCAGGGGATGTGGGTGAAAAGCTCCAGGGACTCCAGGCCAAAAGGGTGGAGATCCCCCACGCCACGTCTGGCACGTTCTTCCTCCCAGCACCGTCAACAGACGCGACTTCCCCAAATTGAGTTGAGCAGCCTTTTGGAGAAGGGGGTTGTGATTGGTGAGACGGAGCCAGCGGAGCCAGCGCTGTGCTTAAAGCCTCGGGGCAGAGGAGGAAGTGTCAGGCACACGGAGAGAGCCCCGCGAGCCCCGACCATGCGGCCCCTGCAGCGCGTCCGCCCGCTCCTCCTGCTCGCCCTGTTCGCCCTCTGCATGGTAAGGCCGGGGCTCTGGTAGCCCAGCCAGCTCTGTCCCATGGGTGGGGGGCAGCCCTGGGTTCAAACAGTGAGGTAATTTCTGCTTTCAGCTTGGAACATCAGCGTTTAATTTTCTATCTGACTCTAACCGCCGTGATGGACCGGGAGCTTTGCGCTGTGGTCTGGAAGGTCTAAAATACTTCCATATGTTGATTTTTTTTTTTAAAGCATTTCTTTAACTTGAGAGTATCATCCACATCCATAACCTTCACCCTGAGCTCTCCAGCCTCTCCTTTGCGTGCTGGCCCCGTGCTTGGTGTGGGGATGCTAAATGTGGCTCGCTGGAGATGCTGGGCATGGCCGTGGGGGTCCTGGGTGGGCACATGCCTGTGGTTTCCTCTTGCCTCTCCCCAGTGGAGGTTGTTTTCCTTCCCACTGGGAGGCTCTGAGTGCCATGCTGGTGGATGTCACGGCTCTCCTGGGTGGGGAGTGTTGCGTGGGAGGGAAGGTCATGATGCTTTTGGGGGGTACAATGCTGTTTAGAGCAGCTTTTGGGATGATTTTTTTTGCCCCTACAATGTGTTGGTAATAGGGGCAGATCTGTCTGTGCTTATTTCACTCACGAACTTCCATGCAGCTGCGACCTGCTGTTGGCTCCACAGGGTGTATTTACATTTTGGGATTCCCCCTCTGTGGCTGGGCGAACCAGCCAAAAACCCTCAGGGGTGTTGGGGCCCCATCCCTGACCCCTTCCCAGCTCTGGAGGGACCCTGAGGAGGGCTGTGAGGCAGCGTGGGGACTGTGTGTTTCACAGTGGGAAACAGCATCCCTTTTCCAGCAGCAGGGCAGTGTTAGAGACGGAAGGAAAGTGCCCTGAAATCACCATCCCAGCTGTGTCATATTTCACACACACGGGCTGCAACCTCCCTGCTTGCAACAGCCCGGGGGTCCCTCTTCCCCCTACCCCTCTCCTCCAGCACGGGTGTTTCCCAGCTCTGCTCCCACACCCCAACCTCTTCCGCTCAGGGCACGTGTCCTGCCACCTTCTTGCCACTTCCTCGCAGCAGAAAGAGGGGCAGAGGCCACTCCCTGGCTCCTGCTTCTCCCCCTAATTTTTCAAAACCCCCCTCTAGAGCCAAGACAAGGATTCGAGGGAGAGCTCGCTTCCCACCCTGTGCTGGGAAAACCCAAAAGCCAAGAGTGTGAAGGAGAACCTGCCGTGGGACAGGAGGACATTTGTCCTGCCTGGCACGGGGCAGTGTGGGCTCTGGGGTGCCCCAAGTCCGTTTGCCCCTGACTCCTTTTGCCCCGAGGGCAGTCGAGTGAGGCTTTCAACCCCTCGCTGCTGTTCGGAAGGGATGCCTGACGCTCGTTTTCTTTCCCAGTCCCTCTGCCAGGCGCAGGGTGAGAAGCAGCCTGCAAAAGATCCTCTGCCCGCCAACGTAACGACAACCTCCAGCCTGAGCCCCCCCTGCGGGAGCCCCCCGCTCCTCTCCCTCGCCCTGGGGGTGGCCGCAGCCCTCCTCCTGCATCTGCGCTGACCGGGAGGGGGTCACCGTGCACCTCCCCGGATCCCCCAAG